CTCTCAAATAAATACATAAAATCCTTAAAAAGTTCGTACCAGAGGACTCAGGATCCTGCCTGAATCAGCACCCACCAGCCAAGATGGGACCCTCGATGATCAGTAGGAATCACACTCCGTGCACCGAAGCACGTCACGTGTCCGTAGCGACAGTAAGGGAAGGAATGAAGAAAACCGATGGAGGAGCCTAAGGAGCTGCCTCATTACCTTGACAGCTGGTAGATAAAGAGAAAGAATCAAGTATTAATCCTGGGTCTCTTGTGACCTCCATCTCTCAGGGCACCTTCGTCCATAGGGGAAATGTCTCTCTGTGGGTCTTTGAAGGCCTCCCCTCTGTATAGATCTGATGCAGCGAATACCCACAGCAAGAACGAGGGGTGCTCGCTCTTGGGTATCTCCCCAGGGTCGTCCTCGTCAGTGGCTGCCGATACCACAGAAGCGTGGACCCCGGACACCCAGACAGCACGTGTCTCCTGGTGGAAGCGCACACCACCAACCTATGACGTAGATTCAACTTTGAACCTAAAGCCGGTCACGGCTCTGGATCCAACTACCAGCTTATATAGTCTGCCCAAGGCATGGAGGAAACTGTTAAACTAAGCCACGGGGTTCAGTGAATGATTCTGAGACTCTGGAAGATTTTACTGGACAGATGAGTCTGTTTCTTCCACAAAGAATTTCAAGCGAGAGAGAGGGTTGGGGGGGGGGGGGAGACAGAGAGAGAGAGAGAGAGAGAGAGAGAGGGAGATGGCCGGAGACCTGTAAATTATAGGAGACTCAAAACTCGCATCATTAATTTCAGTGTATGACTTTTCCCAATATTGTTTCAGACTTTGTGCATATATACACACGTGTGTGCAAAAGGTGGTTGGGTGAATGTGCACGCTCATGGGATTTAATGTCTAGTGACACTAAAGAATTAGAATAGATTTTAAAGGGGAGATTGTGTTTTTATTGTTAGGTTAAATAGTCCTTTTGGGGAAGATATGTGGCATTATCTGAAAATAAAATTATCTGGTGTTTGGGATTTGCTTCAAATAAATGGGATGGATGGTGGAGTTGGGAAGGAGAACTTGGTAGGAACATAGAATAGGGCCATGGATGCAAAATTGTTGAGGCTTCTGTATTATATTTTGGTCTCTCTTTTTATATGTGTTTGAAATCTACCAGAGTAGTTCTTCAGAAATAACTGTAACAACCCAAGCTCTCCTGAATATTAGGCAATTCCTGGAAAATGAAGAAATCAAACTCATGTGTTCCTAAGATTTTGATTTCAAATCACAAGTCTGCACAGCCACAGACTGTTTAAATTTGGAACCGTGAGATGAATCATCTTAAACAGTATAAATAACTAAAATACCAAACATGCATTGGTTTTCTTTAAAAAACATGGATGAGTAATATTAGGGATTCGTTTTGCAAACATTTCTGCACTTAAGTCTTGGGGTTGAGGATGCTAACCTGCGAGGCGGCAATCGTGGAATCTGTACAATCTCAGCATTCCCTTCCTAAGCAGTTGTCGGGATTGCCTTTGCATCAGCCTGAGGATTCTGGTGTGTAAATGAGGTTTATTGGAAGGTGACCTTCCCCTGCTTTTATATAATATCTCTGCTGCTTTCACAGAGCGACAGAGTTGACAGTTGCCACAGACTATATGACCCATGAAGCTGAAAATGTGTTCTGTCTAGGCCTTTGGGGAAAGTGTGCTGACCTGGTTGCAGAATATTATTCCTTTCTCATTCACCTTAACTTGTTTGGCAATAGACCTAGGATCTTCCTTTCTTCCAGGTGGTTACAGATGAGCACAGCATCATTTATTAAACAGTCCATCCCTTACGGTTGAGGGTTCTTCATGATCAATGAGACCCTTAGCCACAGTGCCCACTGGACCCTTGCCCAGCACCCCTAAGTGGAATTGCTGTTGCAGTGCCCTCCAGGGGAAGTCTCCCAGGAGCCAGGGCTGAGGGTTACAGCCCTGTCATTACCTGATGTTTCTATTTCTGGAAGATCGTAACTTCTAAGAGTAATTAATGACCTCCACTGCTCGGGTTGGTTTTCTTTCTTTATTTTTAAAGAGACATTTAACTGGTTTTCTGGCCAAGGGAAGACCTTTAAACTCGAGGGAACCTTCCTAGGGCTTTGCCTGACTCTGCAAAGCAGGTGATTCTAACAAAACATCCTAATTTAACATCTGTGTAGATTTTCTCTGATGTGGTGAATGAAACTGTGAGTTACAACTCATTTATGAGCTTTGAATCACCTTAGAAATACAGTCATCATTTAAAAATATGATAGAATTGAATGGAAAATAGCAGAAGGCATTACAAATTACAAGGATGAGTATTATTTGGGGGTGCCTGCTGGCTCAGTTGGTAGAGGGTGCCACTCTTGATTTCAGGGTTGTGTGTTCAAGCCCCACGCTGGGTATAGAGATTACTTTAAAAAATCTTTAAAAAAGGATAAATTCAGGTGCTTGGGTGGCTAAATTTGTAAAGCATCTGACTCTTGATTTAGGCTCAGGTCATGCTCTCAGGATTGTGAGATCAATCCCTGCATCAGGCTCTACACCGAGCACAGAGTCAGCTTGAGATTTGCTCTCTCCCTCTCCCTGTGATCCTGTTTTTTTTTTCTCTCTCTCTCTAAAAAAAAAAAAAAAAAAAAAGGATAAATTTATTTTTTGAAACTTTGGTTTCATTTGTATATATTTAGATGTACATGAATTTCTTACTGTGGGTCACCATCAAACATTTTGATAACTGCCATGTCAGTATCAGGTGGGGAAAACTGAGAGAGCCTGGCACACGGACGTGGTGAGCAGTGATCATGAGCTGGTAGGAGGAAGTAAGGAAGAAGAAAACAAATACCCCAAACCAGCCTTGGTTAATACAAACATATATGAGCTCCAAAAATAGAGCCAGAAGCTCCAAAAATAGAGCCAGCTACTCTTCTCAGAGTAGAAGGACAAGTCATTACTGCTAAAAAATATAGATGTTGGCCTTATGGATCTTCTTATATGTCTGCCCCTTCCCTCTGTGCTGCTTGTTCACTATTTCCTTCTGGTAGAACAGTGGCTGGCCCAATGTAGACACTTTCCAAATAAGTGTTTATCGAATACAAATACTAGTAGTTAGAACACCTATTTCAGGGGATCAGGGTGGGGGCCAGCGCGGGGAGGAACCTGGGATCTGGGAATTTATATTTTAACAATCTTTCCAGACAGCAGCCCGGGACTGTGGCAGATCAGTATTTAAGAATCACTGACTCATTTTACCTGGTTATTTTCCTGGCCCAGGTCACACACACAGTTAACATTATAATCAGAACCGGAACCGGGTTGCTCACCTTCTGCTGGAGAGCTTTTCCCATAAAATCCCCAGCAGCATCTCACGCCAACCATGTCTCATCAAACACATTGCACGACCTTCTAATGGACGTCCCGAACACCATGCTTCCTCATGGTCCCCCCTCATCCTGTCATTTGCCCTCAGGCATTTTCCTAAATCACCCATCATTCCATTTTCCTGCCCTATACCTTTGGCTTTCTCTTTAGTGCCGGTAACATTGAGACGAGATGCTGTGGCACATCATTCAGGGCCTCCCACAGTGTGCCCCCAGCCTGTCCCCTCAATATCTTCTCTCTCGGCAGTCTCCCAAATCTCTGCTTTATCCAGATCCTTCCGCGGGGACGCCCCGGAACACGCGGCATGCCCCAGGCACACCTGCCCCTTCCCTGACTCTGACCGTCTGTACCTGTTGTATCCTCCAACTGGAGCAGTCTCTGTTTTCCTCTGAATTACATCCATCCTGCCCGACCAAGTGCAGGGCCCATTCTGTAAAGTCTCCCCTCATGAGTGAGTTAATCACTCCTCCTCTACTTCTCTTTGTTCTTTGCTCACGTTTTATTAGAGTCCCTCAGACTCATTGTCTTGGATTTTGCTAGCTTGGCCTGCGTTCGTCTGTGATGAGGAAGCAAGTTCCTGGAAGACAGGATTCTTTCTTTACAGTACATGTTCTCCTCTGTAAAGCCTACAGTGCCTTTCAGCTAGTATTAAATGACATATATGTCAATTTTTCGATGATTAGGATCGCATCAGGATTAATCTTAACTGGTAGTTTGGCCAATTAACCTCTATAGAATAGGCTTCATCCTCTACACGAAGCCTCAGAGCTCCTTGTAACTTGTTTGCCATTTTCTTCCTTTATAAGCCCGATCGTAAGAAAGTTCTGCAGTGTCCGCGTGCTGTTCACGATGAAGAATTCCGTGTTTTTCTCTGGAAGGGAAGGGGCCAGATAGACCAAGGGGTAGTGATCGCAAAGGGGGGGGGCTAGCACCTTGGATCTTTGCTTGCTGTTTTCAAGAGCATGAAGGGAGGGGATAGTAGTTAAATAAATGAATGTGGCGCGAGAGCAGAAGGCCGAGGGCAGTGAGGAGAGGGCATCTGCAGTAGCTACTCCGCGTGTCGGGAAACCCCGCGGCGCTCCCCTTCTAGCGCCTCATGATTCGGTTGCAGGTCACTTCCATTCTCCATCTGTTAGCAGAGCGATATTTGGGACACACCCGACATAGCAAATCCTCTACCCAGATCAGAGGTTACAGCGGAAAGCCTAGCACAAAAGCGTACATGGCTCGAGCGCTTTTATTTTGCTGACTTCGATGCCGATGAAAATAACTTCGATGTGGTCTCAGTGGGGTGATGCTGAAAACTGAAATTTGGATTGTTTCCATGGTGAAGACTAAACCTTTTTTTTTTTTTTTTTTACTTCATTAGAGAGAGAGCTTTGCATGAGAGAGACTGTGAGAGCAGGGGAGGGGCAGCGGGTGAGGCAGGGAGCTGAGCAGGGAGCCCGATGTGGCACCACCCCAGGACCCGGGATCACGACCTGAGCTGAAGGCTCAACCAGCTGAGCCACCCAGGCGCCCCGAGACTAAGCCTAATTTTTTAAAAAAGGATAAAAATTCTCAAGTTGATAGAATGATTTGTCTGTTTTTGCTGTTGCAGGTTCCTCGCGCTGACTCCGTGGAGAGTGTACCACCTGATTTCTGTCATGATACTTGGGCGTGTTATCATGCAAATAATAAAGGATATGGTTTTGTCTAGAGCTAGAGGTAAGAAAACTGAGAATTCACTTTTATGCTAAATAATTTTCTAGGCCCTGAATGTCTGATTTTTGCGTAGGCATATTAACCAAGTAGTTTTAAAAGGGAACAACGTAACAGATCATGTAGACGTTGACTTTGGTGTTATGTTTATTGAATGTTTATTTATTTGGTAAATATTTATTTAATACTTATTATTTACTCACCTGATGTTGTCCCTAGTCATAGCTAGTGCTCCTGGGTGAAAGGTCTGTGGGGGCTGGTTTCGCTCGGGCTCTAAGCACCACGTAAATATCATTTTGATTCACGAGTAGGCTGCAGCAAGGCTGACAGTGAAATCTTTATTACGCCTCACATGGTGACACTTGGACCGCTGGAAGATGGACTCATTCATGTAAAAATTTTCTCTGCCCCTGTGAAGAAAAAAATTATTCAGGGCTTAAAAACAAGTAATAGTTGGGCGCCTGGCTGGCTCCGTCAGTAGAACATATGACTCTTGATCTCGGGGTTATGAGTTCCAGCCCCACGTCGGAGGTGGAGATTACTTAAGAACAAAACCAAAAGACAAGGAATAGTCAAGTAAATATTAACAAACAAGTTCATAATGATGAAAAACGAGCTGACTGTGAACATCGTTTAGAAGTGAGAAGTTCGAATTACTTTTGAAATTTGCTTAAGGTGTTTCCTGAGTGATTCGTCTGTATCACGAATGTGAGTCCAGCTTTCCTGTCCTTGGAGAGGCCCCTCCCCACAAGGTTCCAGTAGTTTCCGCGAATGGGCGAAACACCTTCCTCGGAATAACTGAGTCCTGGATACTAAGTGTGATAAGACTGATTGGATCAAAAAAGTGAACAGGAGGAGGTTATACTGAGACATTTGAGTCCCTGAGTGATTTATTTATTCTCTGCTCGGTGGGGAACCTGCTTCTCCCTCTCCCTCCGCCTGCTGCTCCTCCTGCTTGTGCTTGCTCGCTCTCGCTCGCTCTCCATCAAAGAATAAATGGGTAAAAAAAAAAAAAAAAAAAAAGGTTTAAAACAAAAGAGATGCTTAACTGCCTGAGCCACCCAGGTGCCCCTCCAGGCCCCTAACTTTTAGCCCCTCTCAGGCACCTGCCCCAGGACTTTCTGTTCACCACAGACGTAGGGAGGCCGCCTGGAGGTGGAGCACCTCACTCTGTGGGGTTTTGCAGGGGGTCGGTCAGATAAGGCACAGCTACGCCCTGTGTCTGCCCTGATCCGTAATGGGTAGACGACAGCGCATTTTCCTCCACTGGACTTTTACCCCCTAAAACCTCCCTCAGGGGAATCTTAGAAGAAATCACTGCTGAAAATTTAATCAGCAGCCATTTTAGGTGAGCAACTCAGGAGTTTCAAATTCTTTAAAGGATTTATTTATTTGTTTATTCATGAGAGACACACACACAGAGGCAGAGACACTGGCAGGGGGAGAAGCAGGCTCCCCGCCGGGAGCCCGATGCAGGACTTGATCCCGGAGCCCCGGGATCATGCCCTGACGCTTCACTGCTGAGCCACCCAGATGTCCCAACTCAGTAGTTTCAGCGTTGAATCAAATTTGGTCCCGTCTGGGCACAAGTGACAAGGAGCGGACAAGCAGGGACGGAGCTGGAAGGCTTTGCGACTGTTCACTTGCTCACCCTCGGCCCCTGACGCAGAGGCCCTTCTCAGCCGTGGCTCGTTGGCTTCATGTTCTTGCAGATACGGGACTTGCATGTTCCCAAGGTGGGGCCACCTCGTGACAAAGGGTCTGGCCTTTACAAAGCTAGGCTGGTAGGGCTGGGGAATGCGGGCCAGGGTCGGCTCAGGATCCCGCAGTCCCGGCTTTGGGCTTCACCCGAGGCTCAGGTGGCCCGTGACAGTTCGTGGTAGTGGCTGGAGGGGAGACAACAAACGCACGGGGATGGGGAAGGAAAGCACCAGGAGGGGGCAAGAGCTGGCTGGCTCCTTCCCAGCCTGATTTAGGGGAAGGAGGTGGTGCCTCTGCACCAACAGGTGGACCCCGCCTTCACCCCTTGGTCGGGGAGGGAGAAAGCGGAGGGCTGTTGCTTCAGCCCCGCTGAGTCTCCAGGGAAAGGGGAAGGCCGGGGTTCCGATGTCCCGAGTCCTGGGACGGGGGAGGGCGGGCTGGCTCGGGTGCAGGGCGGCTGGGAAAACTGGCAAAAAAGCTGGAAAAACTGATCTCGAGGGTCTGGCCGTTGAGCCCACTCGCTGCACATCGCAGCCGCCGAGGGCACCCGTCCCGACTGCGGGAACACGTCCTCGTCCCCGCAGTGGCTCCAAACCACAGAATCTCTGCTCTGCGGGCCGGGGTGCAAGGGCAGGGTCACGGGGCCCAGGTCCGGGCGCCGCAGGGCTGTGCCCCCTCCCTGGGTCTCCAGCCGCCCCGGTTGCGGGGTGTCGGTGGCTCTGCTCACGGCACCCCCTCCTCCCCCAGCCTCTCCCAGGGAGGCCTGCGATGACCTCTGGGGCCCTAGGCCCAGGACAGGCTGCCCGCCGCCTGCTCCTGCCTCCATCGCATAGGCCACCTCCCGTTTGCCATGTAAAAGGTTCGGGGAGGGAAGACCTGCCACCTCTGGGTCACGCGGTCCCCTGCACGGCCGGCCTCCTTGCGCCCCGGGACGGCAGAAACCGACCCAGGGCACAGGGTCCTGTGAGGGCCGCCACCGGGTCCCCTGCTCCGCTGCTGCCCGCCTGGCCCTGCGGGGACTCCGCTCGTTGGGCTGCGGGCGGCGGGGCTCCAGGGCGTCCATACCCGAGAGGGCCGGGGGCATCGGGGGCGTCCACACCCAGGGGGCTGGGGCGTCCAGGGCATCCACACCCGGGGAGCCGGGGGCTCCGGGCATCCGGGGTGTCCCCACTCAGGGGATCCAGGGCATCTAGGGTGTTGGGGGCGTCCACATGTGGGGGTCCAGGGCATCCAGGGCATCCCCACTCAGGGGGATCCAGGACGTCTAGGGTGTCGGGGGCGTCCACATGCGGGGGTCCAGTGTGTCCAGGGCATCCACATGCGGGGGCTCCAAGGGCTCCGGGAGCTCCGGGGCATCCCCACGCGGCAGCACCGTGGGCGCCGGGGCAGTGAGCGCGGCCGCAGCACCCCCCTGGGCCCGGTCCCCTTGGCACCTGCTGGCCCGCAGGTCCCGGTGCCGCGGCCTCAGCGGTGGAGCTCGGCCGGGGGGGCTTCCCGCTGACGCCCACTGTCCCTTGGCCGCGTCCCCTTCCCTCTCAGGCCGTACTTCCCACCTGGCTCCCCTTCCTGTCCCGTGTTCCAGCAGCGCCCTGTGCGCCAGGGGGACAGCTCAGCAGTTGCCGCACGGACACCTGTGCGGTGTTTATACCTGTCGCCTTTTTATTATTTTTTAAGGATTGTATTTATTTATTCACGAGACACAGAGAGAGGCAGAGATACAGGCAGAGGGAGAAGCAGGGAGCCCGATGTGGACTCGGTCCCAGGACCCCGGGGTCATGCCCTGAGCCGAAGGCCAGCGCTCAGTCACTGAACCCCCACTTCCGCCCCCGGCGCCCCGTCCTTTTCTCTCTTGACGGCCTTGCCTCCTTCACTGCTGCGTCTGGGTACTACTCCCACTGCCAGCTTTAATGACGCGCCGCCCTGGGAATGGCCAGGAGGCGGCTTCTGCACCTTCCCATCAAACGAATGCCAGAGACGCCCCTTTTGTCCTGCGGCATCCCCCATCCAAGATCCATGTCATAAATTTTTAAAATTTAGTCCTAGGGGAAAAAGAAGTTTCTCAAAACTGCTTGCATTCTTTCATCAGACTATTAGAATTGTTCAGGTGATCTAGCTTCCCTTTTTGCCTTGGCTGCCAGTCAGCCCAGGGATGAATCTGTCGCTCAGTTATGGTCACCATATTAGAATCCTGTTCCCCGGGCCCCTGGGGGGGCTCAGCGGTTGAGTGACTGCTTTGGGCCTGGGACGTGATCCTGGGGTCCTGGGATCGAGTCCCACATCGGGCTCCCTGCATGGAGCCTGCTTCTCCCTCTGCCTGTGTCTCCGCATCTCTCTGTGTCTCTCACGAATAAATAAATAAAAATCTTAAAAACAACAACAACAAAGCGAATGATTGCTGTGAGTGAACGTGTTTTCCTGTGGACCTCACGTGAGCCTGCATACGGCTGCAGACACCTAGAGGGCGAGTACATAGCAGGCTCCTTCCTCAAAGAACGGTGTCTTGGCTCTCGGGTCAGTGCCAACTCCAGGGCCCACCGTGACGGCCCCTCTGTTGTCGGCGCTCCGTGGAGCAGCGGCCTTTTCCCGCTTCCCTGAGCTCTTCCCTGCGCCCTGCCCACCTTGGTTCCCGGGAGCTCACGCGTGGCACCTGCCCCAGGAGCAGCCCCGTCCCAGGCCGGGCCGCAGGTGTAGGGCTCTGTGTCGCATGGCCCCTGCCCAGGGGTCTTGCATGTGGCGGGAGCTCAGGTGGTCACGGGCCGATCCCCCGAACTGATGGTGGTGCCGAGGCGTACCCGGGACGGCTCGGTAGTCTCTAGAGCCTGGAGAGCTGAGCACCTGGTTCAGGCAGCTCAGCGTGTTTCTAAGTGCAGAACTGCCTCCAGAGAAACCACCTCCGTTAGTGTTTCACGCCTTGCCTCTCCTTGCTTGTTGCAGGTGCCCAGCTGTGGAGAAGCCTCAGTGAAAGGTAAGGAACGTTTGTTTTTTTTTTTTTTTTCCCTCAGTGTTTTCACAAACAGGAGGGCAGGTGACTGAGCCTCTGAGACGTCCAGTGGGTCCAGATCCATCAGTTGGTTCTCTCCTTCTTTAAAATCGACTTTAGTTTTTAGAACGGTTGAGATTTACAGAAAACCTAAGAGGCTACTACCAAGTTCCCATATACAGATGGCACATCCCCTGCCTTTCTTCTGTTCTCACAGTGATGTCACGTCATCACGATACACTGGCACAGTGAATGAGCCAATAATCAATACGTTGTTATTGAGTAAAGGTCCGTGCGGCGTGTTTTCCCTGGTTTTCGCCCGGCGTCCTTTTTGGGCTGTAGGATCCCGTCGAGGATTGCACAGTGCAGTTCAGAGACCTGGCTCCGTAGGCTCCTCCTGGCGGGGACAGCTTCTCGGCCTTTTCCTGTCTGCGTTGGCTCTGACGGTTTCGAGGAGTACTGCCTGGGTGTATGGTCGGAGGTCCCTTTGCTAGAATGTGGTGTTGTTCTACGAGACTGAGGATTGCCCAGAGGTCCAGCACCGTGTCTTCGTGTCTTCGCATCTACCCAGGCTGACCTACCACCCACGGTGTTAACCTCGCCCACCCGGCCAGAGGAGTGTTTGTCAGGTTCCTCCAAGTCGGTTATTAAGCAGGGAAACCAAATTAAATCAGAAGGCTGTTGACAAGAGCAGGATCAGAGAGGGTGATCTGAAGCGTGTTCACGATGGTGCCCTTGCGGCACGCAGGCCACGCAGTACAGGGCGTGGGTTCCAGTCCTGCCCGCTGCACACACACGGGACCTTCTTGGGTAAGTGTCTACGCTCTCTGTGCAAGGGAAGAAATGAAGCTTGTTCCTTAATTTTGTGTTGGGAGGGAAATTCGACCCGGGAGCTAGTGTAATTTCAAAGGAATTTTAAAAAGCACTTTGTGATTTACTGGTACTTATTTTGACTGGTGAAGGTGTCAATGGTCTGCTTTTCTAGAGCCTAGGGCTTTCTGATCGATGCACAAGTTGCCTGTCTAGAAGCTGTTTGAGAGTCTGATAATGATTTAGAAAAAATATTAGCACAGCAGGACCAAGGAACTCACTTTGCCAATGCTGCGTTTGGTCAGGGAGCGAGGCTCCTTATAATAGGGCTTTTTTTTTTTTTTTTTTTTTTTTTTAGATTTGCAATATTTCACTACTTTGGGAAAGTGCTCATGTGGCCCCGGAGAAAGCATGATAGTGAAAATAACCTTTTTAAAAAAGATTTATTGGGCAGCCCGGTGGCTCAGCGGTTTGGCACTGCCTTCAGCCCAGGGCGTGATCCTGGAGACCCAGGATCGAGTCCCACGTCGGGCTCCTGCATGAGCCTGCTTCTCCCTCTGCCTGTGTCTCTGCCTCTCTCTCTCTCTTTCTCTGTGTCTCTCATGAATAAATAAATAAATAAAATCTTTAAAAAAAATTTATATCAGTGAGAGAGTGTGCAGGCGGGAGGCCTAGAAGAAGGAGAGAGACTCTCAGGCAGACTCCCACTAGGGAGCTTGGTGCAAGGCTGAGATAAGGACCTGAGCCAGAATCAAGAGTTGGTTGCCGAACCCACTGGGCCACCCAGGTGCCCGGGAACTAACCTTTTTTTTTTTAAAGATTTTATCCATGAGAGACACACAGAGAGAGGCAGAGACACAGGCAGAGGGAGAAGCAGGCTCCCTGTGGGGAGCCTGACGTGGGACTCGATCCCAGGACCCCGGGGTCACGCCCTGAGCCGCAGGCAGGCGCTCAACTCCTGCGCCCCCAGGGGCCCCAGAAGTAACCTCTTTAAGGAAGGGTCTCCTCCGCTGTGCAATTCCCTAGATTTATATTCAGGTGCAAGCGATCTTGCATCCTGGGCCCAACCCCACGTCTGACCGTCTTGCCCCACTTGTCTCTTGGCCTCTGTTTTCTCATCTGCTGACCCAGGAGGTAGGACAGGGAATCATTTCAAATATCCCTTCCAGCCCTAAAAAGTCTGTAATGCAATTGGAGGGATTTGTGTATTTGAGATGCCGTGATTCATAATAAGAATACAGATTTGGTCGTTGTCCCCAAGTTTGTGTCACAGAGTCACTAAGACTTTTGCAATTTCCCAGTTGTTGCAAGGAGGTGTCTTTTGTTATGTTACGAGGTGGCTTTTCTCCTGCCCAGAAGGATGGGGAGGGCTGGGGGGCTGGTGTGCAGGGGAGGCAGGGGAGGCGGCCTTGTGATGAGAGGGCTGGAACCTCAGTCCTGCCTCCCTTCTCGGCCTGGCCTGGTGAGCGGCTGGCGGCTGAGTCGGTCACCCGTGGCCGACGATTTACAGTCGTGCCTGTGGAACGAAGCTTCCATACAACCCCCAAAGGACCGTGTTTGGAGGGCTTCCAGGTTGGCGAACACGCGGTTTGTGGGGGGAGCAGCGTGCTCCGGGGGGCACCTGAGCCCCCCATGCTTCCCCAAGCCTTGCCCTGTGCTTCTCTTCCAGCTGGATGGTCCCGAGGCATTTTTTTTTTTGGTAACAAACCTGTAATCTAGTAAGTAAGCTCTTTCCGCATTCTGGAGGCCGCTGGGGCGAATGAGTGGAACCCGAGGGAGGCGATTGTTGGAACCGCCAGTCTATAGCAGGCGGGTCAGCACACATGACAACCTGGGTGGCAAGTGGCATCTGAAGGGGGGCAGGCCAGTCTTGTAGGACTGCGCCCTAACCTGTGGGGTCTGAGGGCATCTGCTCTAGCTGAGTGGTACATGGCCCAGCGGGGACCAAGAACCACCAGGCGGGGAGAAGGAGCCTCTCCTAGCCCAGCCCCACGTCGGAGCTGGTGATCAGAAGGGGGAGCGCGCATTCCTGTTCCTTTCAGTTTGTCCCCTCGTTGTGTTTTTGTTCGGCCAGTGACTCAAAGGGATTCAATCCACAGTAGAAAGGATACTTCCCAGTACTTTTTCACTGTGGCTTCTCCCCCGGCCCCAAATTTTTATTTGTGATAGTGTGATCTTGGTCCCAGGAGTAGAATTGAGTGATTGATCGCTTACCTATAAGGCCGCCGCTGCCAGGTGCCCATCGCAACAGGTGCCTCCCTAGTACCATCCCCCACTGAGCCCATCCCCCACCCGCCTCCCTTAATCCTGTAGCTAAGTCTCTTAGGGTTTGCCTCTCTCCCTCTTTTCCATTCCCCTTCCCCTTTGTTCGTATATTTTGTTTTTTAAATCCCACATTGGGTGAAATCATGATATTTGTCTTATTTTGCTTAATACTCCAGCTCCATCTGCGTCATTGCAAATGGCAGGGTTTCCTTTTTCTGGTGGCTGAGGTCACCACAGTTCCGACTGCGTGATTGTACTCTGTTCCCTATTCATCGTCAAGACGTAAAATTACAATACTTATTCCTCTCATGTCTTTGGTTCAGTATGTGGCTTACAGTGATTCTTGGGTGTCTGGTACCGGGGAGTGCTTGTGTTTTTCACATCAAAAACTTCAAAACCACTATATGGGAAGGACGAAATACAGTACAATACAGTACTCTTGGGGGCAGAGAGGCGCTCCCCGGAGCCCCGTGGGGTGGGGTGAGGCCTCGGCACTTCCCTGGTTGGTTTGCCCGGCCTCGCATGCAGCCAGCGGTTTGTGCTCAATCTCTGAATGAGCCAGGCCTTCTCTCTCCGGGGCTTTGAGTCTCGGGTTCAGGATCATTACATTCATTGTAAAAAAGTGAATCAAATAATGGACCACGCTGTCTTCACGGTGCCGTTGTAAAGCTTTTAAGTTACAGAGGAGCTCCTTGGAGAGGCAACCCTTGTGTGCGGTCGTGGGGGTGGGTGGGAATGTAAATCGGCCCAGCCACTACACGAAACAGGACCGAGGTCCTAGAAATTAAGGAGGAGAACTCCCCTCTGATGCCGCACCCCCACTCCTGGGTACGTACCCGAGGGAGAGGAACGCACCGTCACAGGGCGGTGCCCGCAGCTGCGTGTCCACGGCCGCACCAAGACGTGAAAGGGCCTGAGTGTGCCGTGCCGACGGGAGGGTCGCAGGTACACATGTACACTATGGGATATCGCGTGGCCGTACAAAAAGAAGGAAATTCTGCTATTTGTGACACTGCGTGAGCCTGGAGGGCATCCTGTGAAGTCACGGAAGGCAGAGAAAGAGTGTAGGACCTCGCTCCCATGTGGCATCCAGGAAAGCTGCCGGTAAAAACGGAGGGGAGCCGGGGGGCTGCCAGGGGCTGGGGCGGGGGGATGAGACGGGGGCAGAGAGCACGCGCCTGCCGAGATGCGGGCTGACCCCGGGCCTGAGGCGCTGCTGTGCATGGGACGTGGCCGAGGCTGGGCCTTCGGGGTGGTCGCCAGCAGCAGAGTGAGCTCCGTGCCAGCTGAAGGGGGCTCCCTGTCTGCGTGGCCATCATTTCACGATTTATGCCTGCGTCAAACCTTCGTGTCATAACCAGCGAACTCACGCCACGGTATGTGTCAGCTGTCACCCAATAAAGCCTGAAAATAAAGGGCCTCTGTCCTTCGCGATAGTCTGACGGCTTGACACTCCACAGACCGTTCTCTACCCTTCGGGGGAACCTGCTTCTATCAGCCTAGCCGGATGGATTTCCCACAATTTAGCCTGAAGACGGCGATGTCCGTGCGTACCAACGTCCGCGTGCGGTTGCCCTGGGCACTTGCAGGCCACTCGTGAGTTCCGCGTGACTTAGACCTGTCGAGTATAGTGCAGCCAGCACCTGATCTCTGACGTGGCCCCCAGTAATCAAAGCGGAATAACTATATAATCGGGTGCCACTCATATCAATTTTTTTTTTTTTTTTGGTACCTGGAAAGTTGACTTTGTGGAACTGCGGTTCACAGTAGGTAGGTTCTGAGAAGGGCTCATGCTTGGCCTGTTTCCTTAGCAAACAGTACGTCACCAACTGCAGCCTGGACAGGTGTGTGCAGAGCAGTCTGCCAACTGAGCCAGGTCCACCTCTCTGCGGGCTCATCCTCGTATAGCA